TGTGTTGGATTGTGGAAGGAACTCGGCAGATAAGAGCCGCACGCAGCGAACGCAAAGTGATGGCATGAAAGACGACTCTTGACTTTCATGGGTGAAGCAAAGGGAAGAGCAACAGCAAAACGTACGATCGTGAATGCTAACAACGATGGTAATGACGCAGCAAGGGTGGTGGCAAAAAAAAAAGAATCTGTCACAAGATAACGTGATGTCCCAGATATGGCCTTGGGAAGAAGGGGTTCCCATCTGCGCATACCGAACACATTCGCCGGAACGACAACGACTCTTGCCCATATGCAAGGAGCGATGTAGCGAAAATTATGCCTTGTCATGAACACTGCATCATCCTGCCAGTGTCACTGTCGAGCTTGGGTCTAGCCGCACCGTGTACGGAATGATAGCGTGATGTTTTCTGAGAGTTAGATCGATGATTATTAGGGGGGGGGAGGTGGGGTAGGTTCTACGTTGTTGGATATGTAGTAGACCAACCCGAGTTTGTGTCGCGTCAAATCGGGAGTCCCAAATCACAACGTCTCCTGTTGAACATCCCGTTCATCCCGTTCACCCCGTTCATCCCGTTCATCCCGTTCACCCCGTTCATCCCGTTCACCCCGTTCACCCCGTTCATCCAGTTCATCCCGTTCATCCCGTTCATCCCGTTCACCGCGTTCATCCCGTTCATCCCGTTCACCCCGTTCATCCCGTTCACCCCGTTCATCCCGTTCACCCCGTTCATCCCGTTCATCCCGTTCACCCCGTTCATCCCGTTCACCCCGTTCATCTCGTTCATCCCGTTCACCCCGTTCATCCCGTTCACCCCGTTCATCCCGTTCATCCTCGCCTGCGTTGCGACACGCGGAGACGTCTTTAGCCACCAAGTTCGCGCAAAGGGGCAAATGTGCAAGAGTTGTCTGCCCGATGTCCGGAAGAAGCCGCTCCGCGTCGCTTGGGTGGCTTTCCAATTGCACACTTTTTTTTTAACTCGTTCAAAACCACACCTGCTGCAGATGCTCACACGCAACCCGTCCATCATGTACGGCTCAAAACGAGCGTGTGACGACACGCGCCTGGTTGTTGGTTTTTAACGCGATGATAACGATGAAGTAGAAGAATCAGGGAATTCGCGCGTTGTTTTTTTTTTTAATGTTGGATGTCTTACACGCGCTGCTTAAACGCATGGCGGGTAAATATCCCGGATTCAATCATGAGTGTCGTCGTTGTGAGACAGACCGAACGTAAGCTGTATATTTATATGACGACTACACTTGGCGTGCGTGCATTGTTGTTCTTTTGCGATTTATTTGATGAAGCCATCTGCACTTCGATGCGTAATCCACGCCCAATCAGCCTATGTTAGCGCATCTATTAACAGCGAGGGAAAAAAAGTATTTGATCCCCTGCTGATTTTGTACGTTTGCCCACTGACAAAGAAATGATCAGTCTATAATTTTAATGGTAGGTTTATTTGAACAGTGAGAGACAGAATAACAACAACAAATTCCAGAGAAACGCATGTCAAAAATGTTATAAATTGATTTGCATTTTAATGAGAGAAATAAGTATTTGACCCCTCTGCAAAACATGACTCAGTACTTGGTGGAAAAACCCTTGTTGGCAATCACAGAGGTCAGACGTTTCTTGTAGTTGGCCACCAGGTTTGCACACATCTCAGGAGGGATTTTGTCCCACTCCTCTTTGCAGATCTTCTCCAAGTCATTAAGGTTTCGAGGCTGACGTTTGGCCACTCGAACCTTCAGCTCCCTCCACAGATTTTCTATGGGATTAAGGTCTGGAGACTGGCTAGGCCACTCCATGACCTTAATGTGCTTCTTCTTGAGCCACTCCTTTGTTGCCTTGGCCGTGTGTTTTGGGTCATTGTCATGCTGGAATACCCATCCACGACCCATTTTCAATGCCCTGGCTGAGGGAAGGAGGTTCTCACCCAAAATTTGACTGTACATGGCCTCGTCCATCGTCCCTTTGATGCGGTGAAGTTGTCCTGTCCCCTTAGCAGAACAACACCCCCAAAGCATAATGTTTCCACCTCCATGTTTGACGGTGGGGATGGTGTTCTTGGGGTCATAGGCAGCATTCCTCCTCCTCCAAACACGGCGGGTTGAGTTGATGCCAAAGAGCTCCATTCTGTTCTCATCTGACCACAAATTTCACCCAGTTGTCCTCTGAATCATTCAGGTTCATTGGCAAACTTCAGACGGGCATGTATATGTGCTTTCTTGAGCAGGGGGACCTTGCGGGCGCTGCAGGATTTCAGTCCTTCACGGCGTAGTGTGTTACCAATTGTTTTCTTGGTGACTATGGTCCCAGCTGCCTTGAGATCATTGACAAGATCCTCCCGTGTAGTTCTGGGCTGATTCCTCACCGTTCTCATGATCATTGCAACTCCACGAGGTGAGATCTTGCATGGAGCCCCAGGCCGAGGGAGATTGACAGTTCTTTTGTGCTTCTTCCATTTGCGAATAATCGCACCAACTGTTGTCACCTCTCACCAGCTGCTTGGCAATGGTCTTGTAGCCCATTCCAGCCTTGTGTAGGTCTACAATCTTGTCCCTGACATCCTTGGGGAGCTCTTTGGTCTTGGCCATGGTGGAGAGTTTGGAATCTGATTGATTGATTGCTTCTGTGGACAGGTGTCTTTTATACAGGTAACAAGCTGAGATTTGGAGCACTCCCTTTAAGAGTGTGCTCCTAATCTCAGCTCGTTACCTGTATAAAAGACACCTGGGAGCCAGAAATCTTTTTGATTGAGAGGGGGTCAAATACTTTTTTCCCTCATTAAAATGCAAATCAATTTATAACATTTTTGACATGCGTTTTTCTGGATTGTTTTGTTGTTATTCTGTCTCTCACTGTTCAAATAAACCTACCATTAAAATTATAGACCGATCATTTCTTTGTCAGTGGGCAAACGCACAAAATCAGCAGGGGATCAAATACTTTTTTTTCCCTCACTGTATGCATGTTGAACTTCTTTCGCACCGCACGTAGCCAGCCGTGCTCACCGGAGGTGACACGACAGTCGGAGTACAGGTGGAATGCGTTATGCGCGTGCGTCGCACGTACGGCTTGCAATGACTCAACTCATCTTGCGTGATTGGGAGGGAAAAAAAAACTTGCGCGAAAAATATCGTTCCGATTTGTTGTTGTTTGTTGTTGTTTATTGTCTTCTATTATTATCGTCTAAAATTGCGCAACGATATTAAAAAAAAACGACTGCAGTTTAACGCACGGCCCAATGCTTGTCTAAGCTCTTCGGCATTGTCTCAGAGCATAATAACAATTACAAAAGATGTACATCACGGTTAAGCTTAAGCTATCGTCAGTCGACTGACGGGGTCTTAAGAGTCTACGTACAGCGCATCGAAATGGAAGAAACAAAGACAAAGATCCCCGGTGTAGCCTTAACAGACTGTTGGGGCAAGTGCTGTTAGCGAGTAGCACCTATGAAGGCCGGAACGGCACACGAGGGGGTGGGTGGCCAGCACCACGCCCGGCCGCCTTTGTCTCCCCAGTGGCGATGTGTTCACCAGACACCGCACCTGGTACTCAAATGAGACTGAGTCGACCTAGGGGAGGGCTCAGGACCGGCTCAGATAATCGTCACTTTCTGTTGGCGGCCGGTGAGCGGGAATCGAACTCGGGTGGCCGGGTTCGTAGCGTAGCGTAGCGCTAACCGCCATACCACCGCTCCCCACGCACCGCATTCACAATCGCGCGATCGAATCAAAGGTAATCACGTTCAGGTTACAACCACAACCATTACAAATATCCGCCGTTGCGGTCTTGTATTAGCCGCAGCCTTGTTTGATAACCTCTGCATACGTACACACATATATACGCACACACACATACACACACACACATATATACACACCTGAGTTTCCTTTCTGGTTTGAGATAGCGGCGCGTATAGCTTACGATACCACCTTGCGCATGTTAAACGGGTCGGGTTGATTCTTTATTACACTTTTTAGTCTCGCTCTCTCTATCTGTTGTCATGCCGACTTGTGGTTATGTAGTGTCCGCTGGTCGGTCAGCACTAACTATAGTTCTGTGCGCGTGTGTGTTTGTGTGTTTCAGTGGATGTGTGTTTCACGTGTGTCTGCGTGTGTTTGTGTGTGTTTCAGTGGATGTGTGTTTCACGTGTGTCTGCGTGTGTTTGTGTGTGTTTCAGTGGATGTGTGTTTCACGTGTGTCTGCGTGTGTTTGTGTGTGTTTCAGTGGATGTGTGTTTCACGTGTGTCGACGCGGCTTATGCGCAAATAAGCGCAAATTCGTTCTACAACGAATTTACGAAACGCGGTCCGCCTATTTTTGACCGCTTTACATTGACGCCCCAACTTTATTTCGGGCTGTAACGCGAGTCGATTGCTGCTGGCGCGGGACCGCCCGACGTTTCGCAGCGGCCTTCTTGAGGGAGCTTCAACGGGAAACACATTCAGCGCGCGCCGCGAAACGTCGGAACATCGTGCCGAATAGCGCCGCGACGCGATCCGAAAGATGAAGAAGCAGAATAAGAATAAGAGGAAGGAAGGAAGAAAGAAAGAAGAAGAAACGCACTCTTTAAAGCTGCACATTATACAACCGCGAAAACCCCCATCGCGCGATAGCGTTCTCTCGTCGTATAGAATTGCGACGCAGTACGTTTAATAAAAAAAAATGCGGTTACATGGCTCGGGATGAAAAGGTGTCGGAATACCCTCCCCCCTCCCCCTCTCTGTCCCGTGCACGTAACCTTTAAACCAAGACTCGCTATCACGAACGCTCACCGCTCACGCCTGCACCTATGTGTCTCCTGGTGATCGCGTTGCGCACTCAGAAGCTGATCGGCGCTGCACGCGGTGAGCGCGCTGCGAGTGCAGTCGGTTCATCCCCCCCGCGGTTGAGAATTGCGGGCGCGCTGCGCGGTTTAACAAAGTTTCGCGAACGGAGAGATGCAACGCGGCCTTTAACAACCCTGGTTGTTCGTAGGCGTAGGTGTGGGGGTGGACAAAGTGCTGCTAACGAACACTTGCGCAGGATGGAAGGGCGCACGGAAGCTTTGTGCTGATGTGGTCGCCATGCGAAACACACACAGACAGAGATCCACCCTTAACAGACTGTTGGGGCAATGCTGTTCGCGAGTATCTTCAAACACACACACAACACACTCACTGCACTGCACGGGAATTCCGACACGCGTGCACGTTCCGTAGACTTAGATTTAAATACACACAGGGAGAACGCGGACGAAGTTTAGCGAGCAAATTCCCCCTTACCACCCACCCCGTCTACATCACGACTGTTGCCCGTACGCTGTTAGAGGCGTCCGACAAGACGAGAGCGCGAGTCGATGCACACTGCTATGGTCCCGTGTCGCTGGCTACGACTGCTGCTGCTGTTGACGGCGATTTAATTCCGAGAGGGACACGGGCACGCGCGCGCTCACTGAACTTGCGCTTGTGAGTGAGATTATGATGATGATGATGATGAGGATGATGATGATGGTGATGGTGAGCGCGGACTCGACACGGGGCAGGACGAGTGCGTGCCCGAGTCGCTAAGACGAGGACCGGATCGCCACGTGCGGTGCAAGAGGCGACGGCACGAGGAGGACGGAGGAGAGAGTTCATCAGGGAGGGGTGGGAGGAGTGGGCGGGTGGTGGTCGTGGTTGGCGGTGGTGGGTGGGGGGGGGGTAGAGCACATTGGTAGCGATCAAGCTGTGGCTACGGCTGCCCTTACAACCAGAGTAGTCAGCGAAAGCAGCGAGCGAGAGAGACAAGGAGAGAGAGAGAGAGCGCGCGCGAGTGAGAGCGAGCGAGGGCTCTCCTTCATCCCCGCCCGCGTGGCCTCCCGCCCTCTTCACCAACACGTGCCCCCACCCCCCGCACCATCTTCGGACCACTCCTGTCTCTCTCTCTCTCTCTCTAAGGTTGTCCTCTCCTCTCTCGCCCCCTTCGTTCGTCTCCTGTGCCCGGGTGTCGCTCTCTCTTGTCCACCCACCCCCACCCCCACCATCACCCGGCGGCCGCACGGGTCATGATACACACACTCCAGGCGCAGTTCGCCGACATGTCGGAGAGCGCACGCTGCCAGCGACGCAAGCAAGCGAATCCTCAGCGCAAACAAGGTAAGGAGAGATAAGGTGGTTGCTCGGTTGGTGGTGATGGTTGGTGGGTGGGTGGGTGGGTGGTTGCTTGGTGATGGCGTTCTGCCGGACGTACGGTGGATGGAAGCTCGTGGTGCCGCGAGTTGTAGTCTACTCGACTCGCCTGATGCCGCCTCCCGACTCTGACCGGCGCGCTCGCGCGACGCGGCGGCCGGCAGCGGTGGCGGCATTGCGCCCACGTGCTTGTCCGTGTCTCTCCGCGCGCGTGTGTGCATGTGTGTGCCTGTGGCTGTCAGTGCGTCTCTCTGTCTCCGTGTGTATGTGTATGCAACATTCGCCCGCGATCTGCTTGTGTGTAAGCTGCGCACAACAAAGAGACGTGTTCGGACAATGCAGATGCACTTTAATGAAACGCAACGAATGGGATCTTAAGGTCTGCCAATGTGTTGCGGTGAGAGGTCGCACCGCGGTTAGAATCCAACTCCCGATTTTAAACTCGCTCGGAGTATCGTGTCACTACGCGAAACGTGTTGTATACGAATTAAACGCAACACAACTTCAGCACAGAACTCTCGGAGTTCCGTGAAACAAAGATAAAGTTCCCCCCCCCCCCAGTATATCCCTAACAGACTTTTGGGGCAAGTTCTGGAAGCGAATGAAGGCCGGGACGGGACACCGTGGGCGGGTTGGTGGGTGGCCGGGACCACGCCCGGCCGCCTTTGTCTCCCGAGTGGCGATGTTTACACACCGCACCAAGTACGCTACTCATTTGAGGCTGAGTCGACCTACGGGAGGCCCATGGCCGATTCAGATGATCGTCACTGGTATTTGGCCGTGAGCGGGAATCGAACTCGGGTCACCGGATTCGTAGCGCTGCGCGCTGGCCGCTACACCGCCACTCCCCACACTCTCAGGGCGCGCACGAGGCTTTGCGTTAGCCAGAAGCCAGCGCGCCTTGCACCTTGAGTCTCCGTGAGACGACCCGCGGACGCACACGGACAAGGGCATTTTGACATCTGTCATCTTGAATGGAAAATGCGAGGTCGATTTCGTGCGGTAAAGATCGTGTACAAGCAGAGCGAACACACGTGAGCGCGCATTCGCGTGTCTACCACAAGAATAACACATTGGTTTTTTTTAAGTTCACTGTGTACGCGTGTACGTTGAACTTCTTTCGCACCGTACGTAGCGAACCGTGCTAATCGGATGTGCAGTGTTGAGTCCATGGGCCAGTGCTGAGTCTATGGGTAGTATTAGTCTATGAGCATTATATATGTTGAACTTCTTTCGCACCGTACGGAGCCAACCGTGCTAATCGGAGGTGCAGGAAACAAACACGCGTACACATTGCAGACTCACGCTTGCGTTAGATATTTGTGACCGCGTCCGAGCGATATCAGTTCGCTTTAAAATAGAATGAACGCTTGGGACAAAAAACACAAAAAAGTTATCACGCACTAAGCAGTTCATAAAAAAAAACACAACCGCAAAAATTAAGATCGCTCTTCATAGAGATATGGACATCGTCCGCGCCTAGTTTCGTGTTTTCCATCTTTCCCACAACGTACTGCGCACTGCTCAGAACTTGCACGGCCGTCGTTCTCATCGTGGGTTCAAGCGTTGCGGTTTTGCATTTTAGAGCAAAGCACGAACGAAGGAGCGTTTTTGTCTTTTGTTGTTGTATCTTCCGAGCGAAACTAAATGCGTATCGCAACGTATGACGCGCGTACTTTAACCGGGACACGTGTTCGATGAAAAAAAAAACGGGCAAGCGCAGAGCCACTTGTCTCAAACATAAATTCGCGTTTTAATCGCCAAAGTGGCGAAATTATATTTTAATATTGGCGGAGCGGCAATGCGCGTATCTTTAATTAGTACACGTATTTGTCCCATCCCAAGGAGTGTCTATGGGCATGACGCGTCAAGTAAACTCTGTACCGGTGTGTGCATACGTCTGATACGAGTTGAGCTTGAATTAAGGTAGCCAGTATACCTCATTGAGAGGGGAGTGGTGGTACAGTGGTTAGCGCACTGCACTGTGCACTCGACCACAATTAACATTAGCGCAGAGTGATAGCGGAACGGGACACCCCACCCCGCACTTAATTTATCCACCAACCCACCCACGCCTTCTCGTCACTAATCCGTATTTACCAGCGTGGTGAAGCATGGTCAAACAACCTCAATGACCAACAGGGCGGCGTGGAGGAGACCGTCATCCGGCATAGGATTGCCCAAGCGATGTAAAGCATGACACGACAATTACATTGACCCATTGACACGTAAGAAATGTAGTGATCTTTATGACCCATGGTATATCCACTGCTGGATGAAGGCCTCCCTGCGCTGCCGCCACACATCTCTCGCTGTCCCGCGACGCTACTATCCGTCACGCTCCGTCGCAGGCGCTGATCGCCTCGCTTCACGGTGATCGCCTTCTCGGGTACGTTGCCTCCTTTGACTGCCATTCCGTCGCCAATCTCGTCTTTAGGCCATCATCATCATCATCGTGTCCTACCCAAGCCCATTTACTTTTTCCGAACAATCATCATCATGTTGATTTTAGCCGGGCGGCGGCGGTGGCTACGCTGCTGCACGTGGCCTCCTGTTGTCCAGCAGCGTGCGGAGGCAGCAGCGAGGGTTGGTGGATCACCGCACACAGATTGGCTGTGAAACTCCCCTTCCCGTGCACGATGGGGAGGTTGCCATACCCTGGCCCGCCAGAAGAATGCAGTGGACTAATCGCCATCTGTTTCCCTCTGTACGGGGATAGAGTGTTGCCCCCTCACACGCGTGATGGGTTTCTCTGGGTGCTCCGGTTTCCTCCCACTCGGATAATCAACGACTCATCGTTAAGTGGATGAAAAAAAAAATTCATCACAAAAAACCAGCGCCAGCAGCACCCTCCTGGAAAATACTCATACGGCTCAGTGTCTAATATAGAATTGAAGCTTTCGTGACTGCATAAATTACTATACTCATTGGGGTTTTTTTTCGGTAAAGTCACGTTTGTAGAAAATTATATGAAAATAATAATAAATCACGACGTTTCGAACGCAACACAAGCGATCATCATCAGGTGTAAAACAAATAGTGAGGGAGCACATAGGGGGACATCCCGTACGTAGCACATAGAGAACGTTAAACTGTACGGAGGCAAATACAGCAAGAAGATGAGAGACGAGAAACTCAACAAACCTAAGAAAAATAACGTGATGCAAAACCAGTCGGCCAACAACACAGTTAGACACTGACCTGGTTAACCACGAATTTCAGAAGACTGCTAAATTTCGTGTTCATCCTCTGAGTTGAACAAACCAGCATAGACAGAGTGAACAAATACGAGGTACAAGGTAGCAGAGATACATACATAGGGAAATATATGTATTGGGCAGCACAGATGGACAAACAGAGTAACACCACACCAAGAGACAAAAAAAATAAAAATTAATTACATTGTTTCTGTGTTTCCCTTTGGTGGCCACTTCGTCGTGAGCGTCGCCATTTGGCCATCATCCCTTCGAGCGACGGCTAAGCCTGACGTTTCTCAACCGTCAACTCGACGTACGTGGATTTGCGCGCATTGTCTCAAATCCACGAGTTCCCTCTTTCCGTTCGTCGGCGTAACTCCGAGTGGGCGTCTCTTCTCTCTCCCCATGCCTCTTTTCTGCACTTTTGTTGTTGTTGTCAGCGTCCGTATTTGAACAAAACAACGTCGCTCGTAATTATCCGCCCGGTCAACAACCCCCTTCCAACGTTGGAACAATCGCAGAGTTCACGTGACTCAAATTTGTCCGGAGCCTCTGCACGTGCTGGAGAAAAAAACCACCAAAAGCTCTCCTTTCGCTGGAAAGTTGTCTCTAAAGGCCACGTGTATTCTGTCCGCGAACGGGACACTTGTGAATCGCGATCGGAGACTAACACAGTGAGTTTTCTAAAACGATCACCGCTTACGTTTCATAACGTATTAAACTCTTACCAATACCCCTTCACCTCTTACCAATACCCCTCCAGCTCTTACCAATACCCCTCCATCTCTTACCAATACCCCTTCATCTCTTACCAATACCCCTCCATCTCTTACCAATACCCCTTCACCTCTTACCAATACCCCTTCAGCTCTTACCAATACCCCTCCATCTCTTACCAATACCCCTTCAGCTCTTAGCAATACCCCTTCAGCTCTTACCAATACCCCTTCAGCTCTGACCAATAACCTTTCAGCTCTTACCTATACCCCTTCAACTCTTACCAATACCCCTTCAGCTCTGACCTATACACCTTCGACTCTTACCAACGCACCTCCGCCGGAGCTGTCTGTTGCTGGCCGCTCGGCGTTGCGTGGCCTCTGAAGCCTATGGTGAGAAATCGTAATCGTGACAACAAAACAAGCACATGACTAAATCACTCACTCACGTGTTGGAGCGAAACAAATCGTGGGTTACCTCTGAGAGCAATGTTACCTAGTAAATCGATAATCCGATGAGTGTGTGTGCGTGTATCTAATGCAATGTAGCGTCGTTTGTAATCAACTGCTGGATGAAGGTCTCCTTTAAGTCGTGTCGATCGTGCGGGTTGTTTGACCATTATTCACCTCGCTGGTCAGTGCGGGTTGGTGAAGGGGAGGGGGGAGGGGGGTTAGTTTGCGGAGGGTGGTGGGGGGGTACAGGACTGAATTGTATCCAGATCACCTGAACACATCACGCGTGGAAACGTATCACGCATACGGGCTGGTTAGGAACGAGTCAAAGTCCAAACATTTCAGAAAGGACAGTCCGTTGTTTCGGCGGTCGGAATCGCACGTTCGGCGAATTGTCAGGGACGTTTCTTTTGAGATGCCTCAATGCACCGCGCAAAAGATGCCCATGTGATGTTTACCTGCGCAAGTTCTCGAGTGCAAAGACGGCGCAAGGCATCCCCCCGAGTAGACCAGGACATATACTGCTGGTGCAAGTGCTGTTAACAATCACTTATTAAGGTCGGCATTTCTCCCACGACGCAACGGCGTGGCCAGAGCCACG